AGCCTCCTCCTCTCCTCTCGCCACTAAAACAGCTCCTTCCTGAGCCGTAGAGAGTCCATCTCATGAGGTTTTTCCACTTTTGAATGTTTTCTTTGAGCAATGTAACCCTAATAGGTTTTTCACAAAGGAAAATACAGCCTGCATGTAAAAGGGGGAGTGGGTTTGGGTCCTGATAATTGCTCTTGGTACATCAAAAGCTGGTTACATAAGGCCTCGGAGAGGGGCTCGCCAGGCATAGAGAAGAGCTCTGTGAACACACTGTGGCGGGCATGATCTTCATGTGTTAGAAGAAGCCTGCGAGGCCGAGGTCAGAGAGCAGGGGCAGCCCCAGGAGAGGGGCTTAGCGGAGTGGATGGGTGAATCTATGGGAGCCTTGCAGGCTACAGTGGGGTCTCAGGACTTTGTTCCTATATTGATGGGAAGTCATCAGAAGAGAAACATGCTCTGATGCATATTTTTAGTAGCTCTGCCTGTTCTGTGGACAGTGGATTGGAGGTGGCCAAGAGTGATGGCAGAAGATGAGGTGTGATTACAAATAAGAAACTGATAAAATTGAATAAGCTGCTAAACACAGTTTATAAAGAATTTTCTAAGTACTAATCAAGTGATAGCTATTAATAAGCCAATGGCTGGCTACTCATCAAACTAAGGGAAATAATGTGTTGTATCTGTTAACAACACAAAAGGTATGACATAGCCAATGGGGTGCTTCTCTGATCTATTTAGGCTCCTTGTCATCCGAGCAGTAAGTACACCATTGTGTACTTGTCTGGATGTTCATGAAGATGAACACAAGTGTCTAGTCCAGTACTTGTCCCATAGTAAATGCTTGGCCAAACATTAGTCTCCTGTTCTGCGCAACTCCACAAACAAAAGCCAGTTGATATATACATAGGCTAAGAATTTAGCAAGGCTAAAACTTACAGGTTGAAGTAGAAAATTAAAATGAAAATTGGAACTGTCATGCTTAACAACCACATGCTATGCAGTGATCATTCTACACACTCCCTGGGTTTGCAAAGCATATTATGTATACCTTCTAATATAGAGTATGGTTTGCAGTCTTAATGCCTAGTACTGATGGCCTTTTAATGCAGTCTAAGCACTCTCATAATGAGGGCCATGAAATCCCAGCCTCCTCAGCTGACCTTTTCTGACCACTTTGTCATAATCCTATCTCCTTTGCCTTAGAGTTTTTCTAAAGTATCAGCTCACTTTGTGTCCTGAAATACTTGAATATTTTCATATAATTCTCCATTTTTTGATGGACGGATTTATTTTCTAGCATCTTTAATTAAATTTACAGAGATAGGCTGTAGGTAGTTATGTTAATGAGATTTGTTTTTGTTTCTTTTTTGCAGAAGAACTTTTAGATCACATGGTGTGTCATTCAAAGCCAATAGAATCATAGTCATCTAAAACAAACTCATTCATTCCATTCTAAACTCCCTTGAGACACACAGGCCAATGTGGGTCTAGTTATTTTATAACAGTTCAGATGTCCCTATCTCCTTATTTTCTTTGATTCTACTTATTTATTAATGTGCATCACACTGACAAATCAAATTGGCTAATTGTGTTGATACCTAGAATATGAAGCACTAAAAGCTAGATGTTAGCTGGGACTCATTAAAAAGCAAAGAATTCATGTGAATAACAAGATATAATCATTTCTAGAATCTCCCTTTTTTAAAAATATTTCTACTGCTGTGCACATTATCTGGTGTCCCGGATAATGCTCAGAACAACAGACTTCTTGAATGAACACTTATTTACAGCTGCAATCTAAAAGATAACATCCAATTAACATCCGACTTTGAAAGCTTCCCTCAATAGATCCCAGAACAGCTGATGAATTTTTTAATTACAAGGCAAATTTACTTAAAGGCTGTGTAAAACATCAGAACCTGAGCAGGAGACTGCACCCTTATTTGAAATCTGCCAATAATTTGTTTTCTTAGCTTAAAGTTTCTTAACACTGTTAGATATCAGAATCATCTAGAGAAATTAGTCAATATACAAGTGCTCAGGCTCCATCCCATTTCAATAAGCCTGGTCTCTGTTCTTTAATAGAGCTTCAGATGATTCTCACTTGCCAAAGTTTGAGAGTCACTGTCTTAGTTTTTTGAATTTTAATCACTCCAAAAAGAAGTATCTCAGTGGTCTGAGTTTGGGAGAAGCCAAAAGAGGTGAGTATTAGACATAAAATTGATTATTCCTGAAAACCATTATCACTAGTTAATGTTTGTGGAAGCCACTTAAAGTTCTCACCAACGACAGCACCCCAATAACAGTAGAAAGACCCTAAAGAGACTGGTAGAGTGGGTGTTTTATCCCTCTTAAGAATCATATGTGCCCCCTGTTCTTCAGAGGATAAAATCAAGAACCCTCCTATATAAATCCCTCTTGAGTTTTCCCATGACTCAATCAGCACTTCCCAGTCCTCAGGCTTCCCAGCAGTGCCCCAACCAATATACCTGCCAATCAAGCAACTAAATATCATTATCGTGAATGTAATTACAGACAGTAATTATGAGTTCGTAAATGCCTGCCATGAGTGAAGCTCTTTTCCCAAGCCATTCTGCTTCTTTTCTTAGGAAAATGGAAGGCAACCTTATCCCCCACCTCACCCCAAACATAGCCTCCCTTGCTTAGAAAAAATCCCTGCTCCTGCTGGCCCAGGGGACATGCTGAACATGCTTTAATAGACTGTTCTTCAAGGAGCAATGTCCCCTTGGGTGGAGTCCTTTTCATTGTCTCTCACCTGAGCATGTTCCCTAGGTCCTTTTGCTGGGAGGCAGTGATGGGAGCCAGTGATCACCCAGTTTGTCTTTCTTAATTTCTGTTCAGACAGAGGAATTAATACTAAATTTTAAGATTGCTGTGGAAAAATCACATATTGGAAGCTTTACAAAACAGCGTGAGAACTTTAACATTACTTAAAACGGAGATTTATAGGATGCAATTTACCAAGGATTTACAGAGTCTTAAAAATCAAATAGAGGTCACAGAAATACATGAGTGAAGTGGCTTTTCATGTCTATAGAAATAAAATTAATCTCTTTAGGCCCAGAATTAACTCTTTCATTCAGTAGCTTTATATTTAACTCATGAAGACCACAGACCCTCATGGATAATAAACTTGAAAGGATTCTACAAAGATATATTTACTCTGAAATGAAATACAGTCTCCCAAGATCTTAATCTGTGTTTCCTTTTAATGGATAGTGAGAATAAGAGACTGTAATTGCACTTGTAGCTGGCATGGTGGAATCCAGACCTTTTCGATTCACCTTGCATTGAATAATATCATATAAAGTCGAAGGAGGAAGAACCCGGAGCCTCATACAAAGCCTAGCATGGCTGCTGGCATGGAATGAATTTTCAGGGCTCTTCTCTGAGTGAGATCAATGTTTTATCCAAAAGCTATGGCTTTTTTTAAGGGGCCTTACTGCTTACCATGTTATTTCAAGCCACATCATTTCCATTTCAACACAATACAATGAAATCACGTGTTGAGTTTTACTTTGTTGTGCTATCATTCACAATCTCCTCCTGAGGTAGAAATAGACTGTATAGTTATCAGAATTTCCACACAGTAACCTGAAGACCCCGAAGGGTAAACACAACTTCCAAAAGGGACTGAGAATAGATTATTACCCTTTCAGAAAACCCATCTTAAATAACATCATCTTCAGACACCTTGTAGCTTTAGAGGAGGTACTTACGAAAACCTAAAGCATTTTCAACCTTTGCATTAAATAGTTTAAAATTCATTTTCAGTGTTTGAAAGGCAGCTTAAAAATGCCAGGACTCTGCACAGAGCAGAATGAATTTGTCTCTCTAATATAGTTATCTATCGTCTGTGAGTGATTTCAGTGTAAAAGAAAATTCACATATAAATTAGTTTTTCAATCACTGTGTATGATCACTTAAAAAGTAGAACATTATTTATATTATATTTTTTCTCATTTTGACAGACAGTAGCCTATAAATTCCTGGAAATATGGATGACCAGATTGTGTTTTTTAATGTGTATGCATATGCAACGTATATGTGTGTGCAGATATTTATATAGATATATAGCTATAGAAACAGATATAGATATTAGCTTGCTTATTTTTACTCTTTACTTTATATCCACGTTAAGTCAAGATAGTCAAGGAGGTAAACTTTGCCACCAGGGAAGGTTAGCATGAAAAAGTTTTCATTATATTATTCCATTTTTCCCATTTTCTAGAAGGCAGACCTTCAAGTCCCTGCACATTGAATAAAAAAAACCCAGTATGCATAAATAATTACCTGCCTGTAATTCCCTCAACCAAAGAGATTTGGGGCTTGTCATTCTGATGTTGGGACTATTAATTCACCCCACGCCTAGAGCACTAGGTACTTTCCTTCATCGGATCCTTTGCCAGTTTGGGACTACACCGAAATGATTGACACAATGTCTGTTTGAAGATCCCATCTCCCTTCCCACGGTTGGAAGGTGGTAAGGAGAACAGAGCTGTCACTCTCTCAGGAGCCACGTGAGCAAAAGGGTGTTCCCCAGGCCAGCCTGTGATAAAGCCCAAATCAAACAAGGCTGAATCCTGGCTGTGCTATGTCCTAAGGATCGGAAAAGTGTTCACGACCAGCCCTGACCCACAGACCTCAAATGGCCAGCTAAGCAGTAACATAAATTGGTGTAAACTTGCTCCTGGGCCCCTGCTGTGGAAGCAGGATTGGTGAATACAGCCTCTCCGTGGCGAAACCATGCCCTTTCTAGGCACTAAAAATAAGGGGGAATGTGTTGATTACTCTGAGAGGCAGTCCAGCTGTGGTGGCTAAATGCCCAAGGCTGACAAATTCTACACCTTAGCCCTGCTGTGAAGCGGAGGTGCATGTGAATACTGTCAGCCCCAAAGAACTGAGAAACAACCTGCCTTCCAAAACTCTGCATCTCAACAAAATCTTGACGATGCCAACAGCCCGTCATCTCGTGTTTTTCAACCCTCCAGAAAATGGCCTGCCAGCCTGGGACATACCGAAGCGCCGTGCAGACCTGGAACACAGCTGGAAGCTGGTAGGAATGTCTGAAGCCTGCCTGCGTAGGAAGAGCCATTCAGAGAGGGGCAGCGCGTTGAAAAATGAACAGTCGTCACCACATCTCATCCAGGCCACTTGGACTAGCTCAATATTCCATCTGGACCATGATGTTGTGAACGACCAGACTGTCCCAAGTGCCCAGACCTTCCAAACAGAAGAGAAGAAATGTAAAGGTAACCAGATTTTTATTAGACCATCCCCAGGGCTTCAGCAAGGAGAAGCAGTCTGGGGTAACTGTGCTCAGTCTCCGTTTATTCCAACCCGTGTCCATGTGGCTTCCCCAACGGTTCTCTTACATGGTTTCTTTAGCCCCAGGTCTGCCTTAAAACATAAATAAATATGTGCGCTCCAAAGGACAGCCATTCACTTCAGTTTCATGTTGTTTTGGATCACTTGGGGAGAAGATATTTTCATTTCTGATTAGTGGAAGGGTTGTTATTTTTGGCTTTGATTCCATTTTTTAATCTGAGTAGAAACAGACATTGCATTTGTTCTATACTTGCATTAAAACGCACACGTGTGTGTGTGTGTGTGTGTGTGTGCATGTGTGTAGGTTTATTTTCCCAATTGTGCCAGTAGCTAATGAGATCTCAGAGTCTTCCTTTAACCTAAATAGACAATTCATGCTCAAAACAGAGGTTTTAAGTTGTTTTCTTTTGCTTGTTAAATCCCTGTGTCATCATCCTGAAAGGCAAGATTATGGTGTTAGGAGCTTGTCACCTCTTTTTAAAAAAGCATTAAATGGGCCTGATGGCATTAGGCCATACCTCGGGTGACCTCCATCTTAACAGATGTAGTGGGCTGATCTTCTTAGGCTCCCAGAAATCTTTGCTTCTTAAATTCATTTGTGTCTTTTAATGTCCAAGTTCTTGTAACTTCCCATTCTTTTTCAATTTAGCATTTTATAAAAAACCAGGAAAATCTGTTTGGTTTGTTCTTCAAGGATTTTGACTTATGATGAACTGTATATTTGAAAATCTGGCCATCACCTGCCAAGATATATTAAGGAAAGTTTGTAAACTTCCTACATATGAGCCATGAGGGACTTTTGCAAACTGCCCTAACTTGAACATAAACACTGTGAAAAATCTGCTGTTCTTTAAGCTTTTCTGAAAACACCTATAGACCTGAGGGATTGGGTATGCACATGGTTTCAGTTGAAAAGAGGATTATCTAAAAATGATAAAATAGTGGTATGAGCTCTGATTTGAGTGTAGTCACAACTATACCTGTCTCCTTGGGAAGATTTGTGTTTGAACTATCTCACCTTTATTATGTGGCAGATTTGGGAAATTGAAAGGGATATTTAGAAAAAGGGCAAAATAAGTTTTTTTGAAGGAATCATGATATGGGACAGGTGTGTCTGTGTGTGTATATGTGCAAATTTGCATGAAATACAAGTGAATATTAGTCTTAGAATTTGAAATCAGATTGTATCTTCAAATTTTATAAGCTGGCATCAAAACCATGTCAGTCCTTGGTTTATAATGAAATGCCAACAGGAAATTAGAATGTCTTCATGATCTAGGAACCTCACAAACTAAATTTGATTAATTCACAATTGGTACCCATATTCACTCATTCATTTATAGGATCCATCTATGTCTCTATCACTTATGAGAAAGCTCAGTCTTGGGTGTCTGGAGCTCCTGACACTGTTCACTTTTCAGTTTGTTGTACACTCCAATGCAAAAGGAAATAGTCTTTCTTTCTAATGCAAAAAGAGACAGTCTTTCTTCAGATTAAAGGCTCTACCTGTGTACGGTGGGTATGATCACACATTGTGAGCCTGACATGTTTGAGCTAGAATCTTAACCCCTCCACTTTCTGTCCTTGGGCTAACTTATGTGGTCTTTGACAGGATCAGATAAAATCATGTATTTAAGCATTTAGCATAGTACCTTTCATAAGTGTTCTCTCAATGGCAGCTATTGTTATTATGGTATTGCTGTGGTCATTATTATTATTAGCTATGCATCATTAAAATGACATAAATTCCTTGGGCTGTGCTGTGTGCCTGGTATGGAATGGAGAAGGAGAGGAGAGTTAGTGTAGGGTGGGCCTTGCCATTTCAGGAATGTTAGAGTAGGCAATCCATTTTGGTTTCATTAAGCTTTCTTTTGCTGCAAGCCAGAGAAGTATTTAGTAAGAAAATATAATTAAATTATTAAAGTCCTTCCTCAATATTCTAATATAAAAGGAGAATAGTTTCTGGAGTAACCATCAGGATTCAGCTTGGCTTGAATGTGAGTCAGTGCCTTACTTCAGCATGAAAATGTCACCAGGAAGCCTACATTGTCATGGCCCAAGAACCTTCTAAGCCAAATTTCACTCATTCTCAATGGACACCTGTATTCAGGGAGGCACCATCAAAGCCAGGTAAACAACTTGATTAGTCGTTATTTTCTTTTTGAAGTGGGTTTTTCACATCTGCCCCACTTGTCTGCTACCTCTTTGTCATCCCTGTGAGCAGAGTTCCATTTTGATGTCCATCTATGCTGAGCCTGAATTTCCTGGCTATACCTGTTGAGTCCCCAGGTATGGTTGATATGCTTGTAGTCCTGGGCTACAGTTCCATATGTTCATCCCATCGGTGCTTATTTATTAAGTACCTGCCACGTGCAGAACATTGTCCTTGACGTCGAGCTTGAAGGAATAGCAGCAAGGCCAGCAGTCATTCGAACAGCCCCAGCTCTAGGACCCCAGATGGAATTGATAAGAGCTAAATGGCCCTGAAGGATACACAAAGTTACGGATCTGCCATACAGGAGCCCAAAGAACAAACTGCTTGAAGTTGTGCAACAAGCCCATCTCTCAAATCAGTAACCCAGCCAGTTTAGATCACGCACCCCTAAGTATGGTTTGTGGATGAGTACACTTCTGCGAGCTTCTACTTATTACCATTCTCTGTTGATGCGAGTATAGCAATTTGACATAACCAGTGACAAGCAAATGCATAATCAGTGGACTCACCTGGCTGAACAGGGTCTAGACCAGCTGGGGATTGTCAGACTTGCCTGGTCATTCATGGGTGGCCAGAGAGATGTAAAAGTTCGTGCAGCAAAACCATGTATTGGGCATAATGGACCAGATATTATTTTTTCATGACTCTTCACTTGAAATCATTTGAGAGTCACTGATTAATGCCATATAGTATTCTTAATGTGTTACTTTAGGCTGGTTTTTGGAATGTATGTAATGTTTTGTTTTTCATTTTGATCTGAATACCAGTTTCATACTAATCTGCATATACCTGTACTCCTATCTGCTGCATTCATTCTAAGGCAATTCACTGGTAACACATTCACTAGAATGAGAGCTCTGGAGACCTGACATTGTGCTGCAGAGCCCACCGTTCAAGTTTGCTCTAGTGCCGGAGGCTATTTCCAGCCAGATGCAGGGACCCCATTCTGTTCCCCCAGACCCCTTCCACCTCCACACTACACCTTCCCGGAGTTTTTGTCGCAGTTCGGACTGACTGCTCAGCCTCGAGGACCACATCCTTCTCCTGCCCACCTCGCTTCTCCAAGTCTGAGATGATGTACTCTGGGATGCTCAACTTTCACCAACCTGTCGCAGTAGTGACCCCCAGAGCTTGTTAAAATTGCCGAATAATCAGGCTCCACCCCGGACTATTGAGTTGGAAGCCCTGTAAAGGGGCCCAGGAAGCTGTTGGATCTTTTTTTTTTTAACAGCTCTCTGGGTGATTCTCAAAAACTGCATACCAGGAAAATACGAGAGAATACGCTCAAGCTCTCAGGGTAGGAGAGGGCCTGCCACCTAGTGGACACTCAGGGAATGTACACTTTTCTTCCCCATTGGAGTGCACCTGGGGAGCCACTGGATCTCTCCAGTCCTTGACTGGGCCTTCCTTTAGGCCTGGCCGACCTTAGTTGCCAACTGGACGTTCTGTTTAATTCACTAGTACCACATCCCTCTGGAAATTGAGCCCTTCGGAGAATCCCATTCTTTGGGCTAGGTCCCTGATCCTCCTCTACGTTCTTACAAGGTGTCTCCACTCAGGTCTGTCTTGCCCTTCTGAGGCTCCCACCAGCCCTGCAAAGATGGTCCTGCCCATGTACTTGGTCAAACCAGCCCTCCTGAACACAGGCAGTCAGACCTCCGTACGTTGATGTTTGCCCTTGATTTCAATCAGAGGCCTTCCTGAAACACTGGAACTGGTGGTATAAAAAAAGGCAGGGACTGACCCACTTCCCTGGGTGCGCCAGAAAAAGGTTAGTAGCAATTTGGGTGCACCAGAAAAAGGTTAGTAGCAATCTGGAGAGCTCACTGAATTTTCTCTGTAGGTCTGCTCTATGCTTAACATCAAGAGAAGTGAGTCTCAGATCCCCAGGAAAGTGGGGGAAAAAAAAGTCGAAATTAAATTTTACTAGCAAGCCAGTTTCTCTCCAAAAATTCCCCCAAAATTCAACAAAAATAATTTCTAAAAATTATTTATGACTTCATCCTGCAAAGATAAAGTGTTAAAATCTTAATTATATTTCAATCTTTTTTTGTGCATATCTATTTTTTATGAACTTGAACTCATACTAGTCATACCATTGTTAACCCACTTTTAATGCTTAACAATATATCATGAACATTTTCCCTTGTCATTAAATATTCTTCAGGCTCCTGATTTTTATTGGCTATAAATTATTCTGGCTCACAGATATACCATAATTAATTAAGCTAGTCCCCAAGAGTTAGACAAGTTGAAGTAATTTCTAAAACAGTGCCTATCAGCAAAGGGGCAGACTATTAACTGATGCTCTTCATAAGGAGAAAAAAATGAATCAAATCAATGATGACAATTTTAAATGACGTTTAATTCTCATTTACCAAAATAACAAAGTGTTCTAAATATGAGGTGGAATCCTTCAAGTATGCATTATAATCCTTCAAGTTTAGACATTCACATTTCCAGCCAGTGACCACTCTCTTTGTCCTTAAGTAAAATACAAGGGCATCTTCAGGTAAATGAGTATTTTAGCAGGTGGAGGATTTAGAAAGCTTGAGCCCATCCAGCAGCACAACCATCCGCTCCATCCATCTCTGCTCTCCACTTGGCCCCTACTCAACATACATAAGGGGCGCAGTCCCGGCTGAGGGCGCCAGTGAGACTCCTACACTTCAGGGGCACTCTGGAAGCCTCGGCCACAGCACGAGAGTG